CGATGAACCGCTAGCAGGCGAAGAATGGTACGCACGATATCTAAAAAAATCAGCAGAACACAAGCAACAAAACTAGATGCTACAGCGAAGATTAGATGGCCTTGAAGATATTAAATTATGAGGAGTGTAAAGAAAGATTTATTTTAACATTTTAACGTAAAATAAGTATCTCTGACTAATATATTTTGCGGGATACGGGCTCATACGGCATCAGTCACATCAAAGAGTTTAAACCATGTACGCTTCCCTCACCTTCGCAAGAAAATACAAGACACGAGATCAAAGAAAATATAAACCGACTGGTTCAGAGCAAATTACGTATATATTCTTGTTTGAGGCTACAGTGTTTATCTGTGATCACGTTTATTTAATACGAACGATTAAACGATTGTATTTTCTCGCAAGTTTTCTTAGAGCCCATTTTTCCAAGCAAATAGGTCTGAATCCCGAGTGTAGAATGATACAGCAGTAACAGCACGGCGGCTGTGGTACATCTCCTTAAACCAAGTTATCCTTCAGAACTTCCCCACATTTACAAGATTCCATCTCCTGACAGCACCAAGCTTCGTGTGTATATGTATTATCACACAATTGCCGCATTTACACTTGCGAAATATGATACAGGTGAGGAAAGTGATATGACTGATGCCGTATCAAAAATATATCAGCCAGAGATACTTATTTTACGTTAAAATGTTAAATAAATCTATGTTTACGCTCACCATGATTTAATATCTTTAAGGCCGTCTAATCTTCGTTCTAGCATCTCGTTTTGTTCCTTGTGTTGCGCATGGTTTTAGATGTTGCGCGTAGCATTCTTGGCTTGTTGGCGGCTCCACCGGCATAAAGGCAATATGCTATTATATGCATCATTATCGCCTAAAATTTCGCTATCAACTGCTTCTAGAGTTCCAATTTCGTGACTGGTATCATTTGATTCATCCTGTATATATACCCAGGAATATAATTGTATTCTGAGTCACATTGAGAACCATGAATGCTGGAAAATATATGTTTTCCCAATAGCTTTTTAGTACTCCTTCACATGTGAATTCGAACTTCCGTCCCTTAAGCTACGTCACACGGCTCTCGCCCCAGACCCTTTTCCGGGCGCGACAATTTTTCGCTAAAAGCCAATTTTTCAAGGTTTAGAACCTTATATCTCGCGAATGAAAAGAGAAAACCGAAAAATGTTAAAGAACCTATTAACTAACTTTTTGTCCTCTACCAAATATCAAAAAAAAGTTTTTGTGACATAAGCACTTTAAGCCTGGTTCACATATATGCCTGCGACGTAGCGGCGACGATGCCGGTGGTAGCTTAAAACGTAAATTATGTGAATATTTGTTCGCCGATTGCCTCCAGTGCCACAGTTACATCGGCGGTAGGCCGGGAAAGTTGACTTGAGTTCAACTTTGCCGGTATTTCGGCGGCAAGTAGAGGCATAATGATACAGTCGCAGGCATACCGCAGGCATATGTGAACCAGGCTTTAAGTAGAGGGGGCTTTGTAGTGGTTTAGTGGATAAAACGCAGTGACTAAAAGACATGTAAAAAAGCTGTAAACGTGAATAAATGTCATCAGCACACACACTGCCAAAAATCCGTGAGTATTTTTTAGTCAAACTGTTTGCAGTGAACATGTTCCTTTGTTGTTTTTTTCTGTGTTGGTGTAATGTACTCAGGTGAATATGATGCTTGTAATGTTACTCTGAGTGTATATCCACACCGGCCAAGCAAAGGTCGTAGGTTCGATTCCCACCGTGGTCAGGCATATTTTTCAAGCTTGCCCGGTGTGGATAGTACACTCAGAGTAACATCACAAGCATCATGTTCCTTTGTTGTGAAGTGCAAAGGGGGCTTATTGGCCTTTATTAGAGAGGGGGCTGGGGGCTTTCTGCCCGGGGGGTCTTAATAATACAGTAAGTTTGCATGAGTAGTAAAAGATAAGAAAGATTACATTGTCTAGTCATTTAATGATTTTAATTTGCAATCAAATTATTACAACATCTGACAACAGAACAACCAACCAGCATTATTAGCAGTATAGTTCTCAATATATTTCTTCTCAAGCAATTTCCACTTTCTTGCTTCACACAGTTCGTCCATTTTGGCAACATAGCCGTAGGACGGATCTTCCCAACAAATCTCGCGGACTGCAAAGCAACCCAAGCCTCCTGGTTTGACCACGTGAACAAGATCGTCAAAGCCTTCGCTGTTCACGTGTTTAACTGTGAAGGTACCCACGCAAATGGCGGCATCGTACTGGTTCGCGCCAATTCCCAGATCCTTGCACTCTGGAGACCCCATCGAACCTTGTTGTAGTAATCCATATATACCTTTTGCTTTGGCAACCTCCAGCAACTCGGGGGTTAGGTCTACTCCATCGATATTTTTGTAATCACATTTCACTAGTTCTTCTCCGACCAATCCTGTGCCGCAGCCGAGATCTAGAATACGAGCATCGTTGGTGTATCCAAATTCTTTCAGTTTTTGTGCCAATTTTTCCGCCGCTACAGCTGGCCCAATGTATGCTTCATTTCGAATGTCCTAAAAACATGGTATAGTCGAACATGTATTATTAAAGCGGCACAGTATTAATTAAATGGTCACACTTATAAAGCGGTCATTTGGCACAACCCCCAAATTGAAATTACCGTATTTTAAAACTGGGCGTACACATCACCGGCCGGTTTGGAACATTGATGCATGGTACTGTATTTAAATAACCTTGATATTTAAATTCGCAAATGTTTTCATTATATACATGAAGCTGTATACACATTTTAAGTGTTTGCGAACACACATGCAGGGGCCCGCGTCGCTAACCCTTCTTGTCTTTAATGGAGGGGTGTAAGTGCAATTTTGCAGACTCATCTCAACCATTAATTAATATTTCTTTTCCCAAAAATGTTGGCAAATTTTTTGCTATAAATATTACTTTTTAATCAGTGCATGTAACTCATTTATTTTAGTTTTTTCCCTTCTTATCCAATTCACGTTTTACCGGCTCCAAACTGAACAATTTCCCGACTGGGATTCAATAATTTGCCGAATCTCTGCACACATCTGATTAATATGCATGAAAATATATAATTCTATTTTATGGCAAGCATCACTTTCGGTGAAATGGCAGACTGTGATTGGCTGAGAAGCACTGTCAGCGGTCCATTATTTTCCAGTAATGGAAAACAAACGCATAAATTGTTGTTTTTTTTGTTTTCTTCGACCAAATGTGTACCACGCTACTAACGTGCATTTCAAATCATGACTTTCTTGGGGTTTTTTCAAGTATAAATGCCTACAAAATGCCATATAATAAACTTTTTATTAACCTCGCTTGCTCGGTATGTACAGAGAAATATCGGACCTCGGTCTTTTTGTACAAACCTCTACACTACAGACCTCGCGTTCGGTTAATAGGAAGTTAATATTGGTTATTGCGAAACAACTAACCAATCGCAAGATAAAATAGCTGAAATAGTGTATCGAGCTGTTTTAAATCCGCACTATATTTAGGAACCAAGCGAAAATAATTTGGTCCGATTTCATCTGTTCCACACGAGAATTCGTACGGTTTATAGCTGGGCTCGAATTTGTCTTTATACGTCCTGCTTGTGCGAACGAAACGCAAAATTGTGGAAATTTGAGCACTATCACTAGATCTATCTGTCAGTGAATAATTAAATGTAAAGCCCCGTTTACACTACGCTCAATTTTTGGTACGGCACGGATAAAATTGGTACCCGTACCACTTTTTTGGTTCTTGGACTACCTATTTAGGTAGTCCAAGAATCAAAAAGTGGTACGGTACCAAATATTGAGCGTAGTATAAACGGGGCTTAGCTAAATAGGTAGTCCAAGAACCAAAAAAGTGGTACGGGTACCAATTTTATCCGTGCCGTACCAAAAATTGAGCGTAGTGTAAACGGGGGACGGATAAAATTGGTACCCGTACCACTTTTATGGTTCTTGGACTACCTATATTTTGAGCCCCGTTTACACTACGCTCAATTTTTGTTACCGTACCACTTTTTTGGTTCTTGGACTACCTAAATAGGTAGTCCAAGAACCAAAAAAGTATCAAAAAAGTGGTACGGGTACCAATTTTATCCGTGCCGTACTAAAAATTGAGCGTAGTGTAAACGGGGCTTTAAGTTACCTCATCATACGTCTTGCTCCAAGCAGAATATGCTTCTTTTATTTCTTCTTGGGTTGTGTCTTCTTTTTTCATAAGCCTAGCAAGGTTAGCATGAGCATCAAAGCTTTCTGTAGCCATGATGAGCGGTGCAGACTTTGCTTTGTCTGATTTGATTTGTAAACTGAACGAGATCTGTAATGTGAAACCTTAGTCGGTGTTCTTATTACTCTGAATATGCAAATTTTGCAATGTGCTTATGACAATATCTTGCAGTGACCTTCGAAATCCAAATTGCCTTGCATGCTCCCAGATCCCCTATAGGCTACAATGCTTATACTGCATGTATATATTTGAAGAAGATATAATATAATTTTGGAAACCGGTAGACCTATAGTAGGGATATAACAATATTAATTAGAACTTTAGAATATTATAACTAGGTCAGTCAAGGTGGCAACTTGTACCAAGCGGTACCAGGTAACCAGCACTTTGACAACTTGTAGCAAGGGGTACCAGCACATTGGGTGTGTGTGAATTGTGATTTTATTAAACTTCAATCTTGGACTTATGTGAATTGTTGGGTGAAACAACGGAGGCAATCCCCAACAATAATATGAGAAAATTTAATTACCTTCAACAAAAATTGAATCATTACATATAGCATTTATTACTTTAGTCTCACAATATTTGATATACAAAGAACCATGCACCATCGTCTTTAATGTAATCCGCTTCGTAATGCTTTGCAACGAATTTCCACTTTCCAACTTGGCAAAATTGATCCATTTTTTCACGAAATCCGCATTGCGGAGCATTTAGTGAAAGATCTCTTATGCTAAAACACACCAATCCCCCCGGTTTTATCACGTGCACGAGATCGTTGAAGCCTTCACTTTCCACGTGTTTAAGTGTTAAGACACCCACACAAGTGCCGGCGTCGTACTGCTTCGCGCCAATGCCCAGATCCT